AGAGAGAGAGAGAGAGAGAGAGAGAGAGAGAAAGAAAGAAAGAAAGAAAGAAAGAAAGAAAGAAAGAAAGAAAGAAAGAAAGAAAGGAAAAGAAAAAAGCAAGCAAGAAAGAAAAGAACGCATGCTGTGCCTGAAGACCAACATCCAAAGTTGTTCTCTGGGCCTACATGCACAAACACACACACTGATTTGGTTTTTAAAATACTTGTTTAAAGAGCAATGACCTTATATTTTGTCAAGATAATAGCTTGGGATTTTCTACTGAGTCTGTCAGGCTTTTAGCTAATTAAGTCCAAACAGAATCAGAATTTATTTAAAACTTTGTTTTGGTTATGTTTTAAGACAGGCTTTAAACTACTATTCCTGTTTCAAGACTATTTTAACTGACCTGGGTGTTCAGCAGCCATGCTTCCAGATGAATGCCAATGGTAAGTAAGGAGCTAAAACATCAAGCCGTATTTCTGCCCTTGTCTCCCGGTCAAGCAGGTCTCAGGAGACCAGGGGATAACTCGACAAACAAAAAGAGCCTAATTTGTAGCCACCCACAGGATCAGCACCCAACAGGCAAATATCATCTAGCTAGCTAGCCAGCCAGCCAGACAGACAGACAGATAAATGCATTTCAAAACAGAGTTCTACCAAGCCCCAATCAGGATTTTCATCCTGACCCAGTCCAGCTGGAAATTGCGGTCCCAATTGCCCTAGAAAGACAGTCAAGTAACCAGCTTTAGCCTGCGTTACTTGACTCACTCTTTCTCACTCTTTCTCCATCAATAAATTTTAATGACACATAAATAAGATGTTAATATTTGGGCATTTGATTTTTATATCTGTGCCATTCGTCTTTTACCACAGTGAGAAAAAATCCCAAGACAAACAGAATATAAACAAGCTTATTTGGCCTCAGAATTTGGAAGACCACACTCTGCAATTACTCGGCCCAACTACTATAATCTATAGTCACATGGTAACCATGGAGATGCGAGTGATAGGGAAGGCCTAAATTATCTCAGCAGGGACATCAGGAAGACAACCCAGGTTCACTTCTGTGGCTCGCACAAGTCTTAACCTAACCTCTTCCAAACAGGACCCTCCTCTCTCCACACCATTTCCCAGCACTCTGGGCTAAGGACTAAGCCTTCCTTCCTCACACAGCCCTCTGGGTATACTCCATGCCCTAGTGCCGTTTTCTCTATCTTCCTGGCCACACCTTTCTTTCCTCTGTGTTGTCTAACCTGCTCCAATTCCAAGTGGTCTACCTAATCTCAGTCCATTTGCTCCTCTTGTCTTCCTTGGTGCCAACTGAAGCTGAACACAATAGTCTTCCATCTGTCTCATACACTCACTGTGCTATCAGCTACATCAGATTCAGCTCACTGTCAAGTTGATCTTTACATCATGGTGTAGGAAAGAAATCAAGGAACAGAAATTTTGAAAGTAATGGAACAAAGTAAAAATCTTGTCTATTTATGATTTAAGAAGTGAAATACCCAGCATGGTGGTGCGTACGTATAAGCACAGACACTCAAGAGACTGAAGCAGGAGGATTGCAAGTTCTAAGCCAGGTTAGGATTTTAGGCTACAGTCCAGCCAGCTCTATACAGCATGATCATGTCTCAAAGAATTAAATCACAATTTTTGATTTCCAACTCTGTCCATTTACCTGCACATTTCACAATTTCACTTGTAACACCCACAGATGAGCGGAACTCTCACCCATGCAGAGAACCCTCACTCTGTAGTAGACATCAACTAATACAGAGACTTGAGCACAACTGGTCAAACTGCAAATGTCACAGTCTATCACACCTCTTCCTCCCAAAGTCAGGGATCACTGAAGAAGAGGAGCAGAAAGCCTGTTGAGAGCCAAGGGTTCTGGAAGACTGCTGCAAAACACTGTCTTCCAGACACAACAGAACTCACAGTGCTGTGACTGACACACATGATCTGTACAAGATTAGACCAGCCGACACTCCAGCATGAACAGGGGATGTCATAAAGTCTACCCCTACCTGGGGAGGTGGGGGGAGAAATGGACAGCTACGCAGAGAGGGAGACCCCATTTCCTCGGGGATGCAGCCCTAAGAGGTTGCTCATACTGCAGTGGCTGACCCTACACCAATGCACACACTGCAACAAGGAAGGAAGGGAAGAAGAAAGGAAGGGAGGGAGGGATGGAGGGAGGGAGGGAGGGAGGGAGGGATGGATGGATTTAGGAAAAGATAGAAGGACAAGAATATGGAATAAATTTATCAAAACATTGAATACATGCACAAAGTTTTCAAACAGTAAATAAAACTATTATACTTTCTTCTTGAGATAGCATTTCCTGCTAAAAGCAAAGATAAATGTCACATTACTGATAAAAAATTATAAATGATTAAAGTATAAGTAAAGTAAAGTAGGGTTGGAGAGATGGCTCAGGTTAAGAACACTAGCTGAGTTCAATTCCCTGCAACCACATGGTGGCTCACAACCACCTACAGTGAGACCTGGTGCCTCTTCTGGTGCACCAGGCAGGCACAATGCTGTATCAATAATAAATGAATGAATGAATGAATGAATGAATGAATGAATGAATGAATATTAAAAAAAAGAAGAAGAAAAGAAAGCAAAGCAAACCAGGTCACCATGCAGTTAGCATTTAAATATGGACAACTAAAACCAATGAGCTCACAGCTGTCTTCACATCAGTACCACAAGGGGTTGGAGACAAAAAGTTCAAAGTAGTGAAGTCGATCTAACGATCTGGGCATGGTGGCGCACATCCACAACCCCAGAACACAGAAGGCAGAGCTAGCAGGTAAGGAGTCCTCAGCCAGGTGAAGCCAACTTGGGGTACATGAGACCCTCTACCAACTAAACAAACAAAAGGAGAGCAAAGTCATTCAGTCACTTGGAATTACAAACCTTGCCAACGCTGGCAGCCTGAGTTAAATTAAACAGGACTCGCACAGTGGAAAGAGAGAACGGACTCTCCCTAAGTTGTACTCTGACATCCATGTGTACACTGGTAACGTGTGCGCACACAGACATACAAAAGCAAATAAAAAAACGCACTACTACTTATAAAAAACTGAAGTCTGGGAAAAGTCGGCAGTTAACAGTTGCGTGCTTATCTCATGAGCATGAGGGCCTGAGTTTGAGCCCCAGGACCCCTGTGAAAGAGCAGGAACGTGGTCAGCAAGATGGCTCCATGAGTAAAGACACTTTCAGCCATCCTTACGAGGGTATGTTCAGTCCCTAAGATCCACACAATGAAAGGAGAGACAGACTTTTACAAGTTGTTTTCTGACCTCCACACATGGGCCAAGATATGTGAGCAACCTCCACACAAAAACTAAATAAATAGATTTTGAAAATTAAACAGAAAAATTGGGCATGGTGTGCATGCTTGTGATCCTGGTGTTGAGGAGGCAGACACAGGCAGATCCCTAGTTGCTAACCACTTGTCTACCCTAAGTGGTGTGCTCCAGCCCAATAACAGAGAGACACCGTCTCAAAAAAGGTGGACAACCTTCTTGAAGGTGATACCTAAGGATGTTCTCTTGCCCCCACACACATGTGCACACACACACATCCACATAGAAGGGCTAGAAACTTAGCTCAGCAATGAAACTAGTGTCTTCAAAGTTCTTGCTCAGTCCCTAGCTGGGGGAAAGGGAGTGGGTTTAAGAACTAAAACAATAAGGGCACAAGGAATAATAAAACTGTTATCTTGACCTTATATTTATACTTATAAACATTAACACACAGCTAATCAATTTCGCTCAAGCCACTAGTAATGGAGGAGTTGTGGGCATACAAACTTTCAGACCAAAGCAAACCTGCTACTTACTGTCAAAATAATTACTGTTGTTGTTGCTTACAACAAGACTTTTGCATTGACTTTTTGTAAGTTGGTCTACTGAGTACTCTGAAGTGTGACAGAAATATAAAACACTGTCTGAGAATAGCTTTCATTAAAGAGTCAAGGTAACTAGTAAGAGAGCTTATTAGCTACAAAAGCTAATTCCAATCCAAAGACGAAGAAAACAAGAATGGTGGCTTTAGCAAGTCTCTATGGTCTGCTTACTGATTACCTCACACTCTGTTGTCTTTGTTACTGCTATGTCACTGCAGACACAGGATGGTGGGACACAGCCCTGGAGACCCCGACCAACACCACATAGCGGCTCACACTCCTCTTCAAATTCCCAAGTGGAGACAGAGGAAAATGATTCCCTAGAAACCTCTGCTGCAAGCCAGGTCCAGTGGCACTTGGCGCTCGGGAGGCTGGGGCAGGAGGACTACTGAGAGCTCAAAGCTATTCTGGGACGCACAATGAGATCACAAACAGCCTGGGATAATAGCTAAATCCTGTCTCAGAACCAAAAGAAAGCAAATCTCTGTTTTAGAGTATAATCAGAAGGTTAGGCTCTCTAGGTGCTATCAAATAAGAGCCTTGTTTCCATTACTATTTTAAGTTTAATTCAGACTTCACTATCAGCTTTCAAAGATATTTTTCTTTTCCACCAAACAGGTAAGACGTCCTCTTCTAAAGAGGGTGGGGGAGTCTGAAGGTGTGCCTTCTTTAGTATCTCTCTACCCACTATAGCACTCAGTAGAGTTAGAGGTTGTCTACTGTCTTGAGAGCTTTTGGAGAGAGATGTGGCTGCCTGAGTTGGGGGGATCAGAGGAAAAAACAAGCAAATGAGTAAATGCACAGACACTAACCTTTACAGCACAACTCACAGTTTCCAGGAGTTTCTACGCAATCACACATGTGGACACTGCTGTTTGTTTCTGTTCTTCAAAGAACATACTTTTAAAGGATCTTTTTTTCTGGTCTGGGGAGATGGCTCGGTGGTTAAGAGTACTTGTTGCTCTTCTAGAGGACCCCAGTTAAATTCCCAGCATGCACATGGTGACTTACAATCATTTGTAACTCTAATTCTAGGAAATCCAATGCCCCATCCTGGCCTTCTAGGGCACTTGGCAGGCACAGACATACAAGAATAATGTCTGGTGCACAGAAATAGGAGCACACAGCACATTCATACACATGAAGTAAAAAAACCCTTTTCTTTGTGTATGTGTGTGTGCATGTTCATATATGGGAACACGGGCATGGATGCGTCACGGCACACACAAGAACTCTGACAACCCTGACTGTCGGTCCTTCCTCTCTACGTTGTATGAGGTGTGTCTGTCATTGCTCACCACTGTACGCGCCAGGCTAGCTGGTCTGCAAGCTTCCTGTTGTCTAGGAGTGCCAGGAGTAGAGAAGCTGGCGCTGCGCCTCTCCTTCCCGCAGGTTCTGAGGATCAAAATCTGTGCACATGGCGCTTTTGTCCATTGGGCCTTCTTCTCTGCCCACGAACAATATTCTTACCTCAGTCTTCATCTACACACCCATACGCAAACGTGTTTTGTGATGCTTCACTGCTTTGCAGACAACTTATAGATATTTGTTGAACATAAGAATCCAACAACAGCTACTAAGAACGAACCTGAGGCCTGGTGGGAGGAGGAGACAGAGACTGCTGAAGTTCTTAGCTGGACTACTAGAAAGATGGCTTGATGGCAACAAGGGCCTCCCTCTCACACACTGACGAATTCAAACTTAACTGTCACGCAGGCTCTAATTGCACACAGGGAATTGAGGAAAGCTATGTGTATGTAGTTATTACACTGTTCTGCCAAGTTTCTGAATGTTTGAAATTACTCAAGAAAAAAAATATTTCATCCCACAGCTCCAAATCAGTGTGACTCTGTTACACTCTCATCAGTGGAAATTAAAAGGAAAAGTATCAAAAAACCCTTCGAGGAAAAGAGAACATGAAGAAGAAAAGCATACATACTTCTATGCTGGGACTGATGGAAGGAGTGTGTCCTGCTCCGCTCTGGAGAATAGCTTCTGCTGCTGACGCTGGAGCCAGATCTGCTGTGTGGGGAGTCCTTCCGGCCTACAGGCGATTCTCTGAAAAAAGGAGCGTCCCTTTTATGGGGAGACCGATCTCTCGAATAATGGGAAGAGTAGATTTTTCTTCTAAAGCCATCTCTCATGTCCCTTTGAAGGAAAAAAAAAAAAAAAAAGTTTAATCATATCTTCTATACAAAAATCTACACAAATGGCAAAGGATCAGATTACTGTCTGCACTGAAGTCTTGCTTCCCCTTCTTAACAGCAACCGGATGCTGAAGTCAGATAACAAAGCAAAACTTTCAGTAAAACATGACTTAGAATGTACCACTTTTCACAGCCTGGGATAGAGCCAGATTATCAAGTGCAAAGCTACTTTATTTCAAAATGTGAAAACACAAACACGGTATCTTCTGCTCTCAGAAACACCCAGGAATTGTAATTTCTTCCAAGAAAAACAGCTCACATCAAGTCATTCCTTTCTAAATGTAATGGACATCCTTCATCCAAAGGTTCCAAAGTCACAAACCTGCATCCACTGCCATGATGCTCACTAAGTTTCCTACTCTGCCACATTTCAGAGTTCACACCAGGAATATTCACTCCATATAGTTTATGTACATGTTTTAAAAAGATAATCAGAAAGCTCATGTTAGGCCTCTCTGAAGAGATGTTCCACCATTGTCTTTTATCTCCAAAGTTGGTAGCTAGACATTTTGTTTTCATGGCCATTGGTGTGGGTGTAGGGGCACTGATGGGTAGTGCCCAAGGATGTCATTAGAATCCTATAATACCCAAGACACCAAAGCCATACAAACTAAAGCAATCCATCTAACCCAGAAGTTATGGATGCCAACCCTGTCTCAAGCTACTAAATCCTTACTCTCTGACCTTGTGTCCTCAGTACACTGACTGGTACGAATCCTACCACCTTTATAAATCACTCTGATTTTTCATAAATTCAGTTTCTTTATTAAGCAGCAAGCAAGCCTACTACAATTTTAGGCAAGGCTGAGGATACAGCTCAGTCTGCAGCGATCACTCTGAATGTGTGTGACACTAGCAATGAAAAAGTAAAAGAGGTAGAGAGAAGAAGAAAAACTTTACACAGGAGAACAAAGTAAATCAAACTTCTAAGTGAATCAAGATATAAACATCTATATTATAAAAACAAGACATCTTAAAATAAAAACCTCTATAAAAAGAATGATCAAAGAAAGCTTTAAATAAGCATACTTTCATATTAAATTTAAGTAATGATGTTTAAAGATTTATTTATCATTATGCATACATAGTGTTCTGTACTGCACGTATGCTTGCAGGCCAGAAGAGAGCACCAGATCTCATTACAAATGGTTGTGAGCCATCATGTGGTTTCTGGGAATTGAACTCAGGACCTCTGGAAAAGTAGCCAGTGCCCTTAACTTCTGAGCTATCTCTCCAGGACTTAGCTGTTTATTTTTGTTGCTTTTGTTTTGAGACAGGGTCTTACTCTTAGCCTGGGCTATGTACCCGACCTCAAACTCACAGCGATCTTCAGATTTCAATCTCCCAAGAGCTGGCATTACATGTGTGTATCACCATACCTGCCAAGGCACTGTACCTTATACAGACAAGTGCCAATGCAAACCAAGGATGTGTTTTGTTTGCTTGTTTATTGTTTTCCTTCTTTTCCCAGTGCTGGAGACCAAACCCACAGCTCTTTCTGAAAATAATTTTAAACTGATTATCAGTCCCCACTACATGAGTAGCTGGTTGCCTTAAGTTCAGTCGAGTGCTAGATAATCAATTCCCCAAATATAGTGCCCAATAGAAACAATTAAGTTTCCCTAGGAAAAAATAAAAAGCATCTAAAATTAATTTATATGTAAGTGAACTCATATGCAGCATCAATATTCCAAGAAAGCACTCAAGAACCGTAATATAATTAAGTATGGTTCACTCCAACATCAGTAATCAGTCAATATCTATCTATGCAGGTCTTAAGAACTGTATTGCAGACCCAATGGAGAAGCAGATGCCACCAGCGGTGCTATAGGATCCCTGCTATCTCTGAATTGAGGACAAGAGGAAAAGCTGGCACTGACCTAGAACACATGTGGATGCAGTCAGGAAGAGGCGGGAGAATTCAAGGGAATTCATGTATTCCAGGGAAGAAACAGTGGTAGCTTAGATGGGAATGGTGCCTATTTGATTACACAAGCATGAAAGACCCAGGATACGGATTCTCAGAATTCTAGCATGACATATTGGTGACGTGAGAAAAGCCAATCTGAGAAACAGGATGGGTGAGACGGGCTGTATGGCATCTGAATGGCAGCATGTAGACATGAAGTATGCATGCAGTATCTGGGTAAGCAATCAAAGACAGCCGTCTTGAAAACATGAACCACTGAGCTAGTTTCCTAATCCCAACACCAGAGGGCAGTCAAGTAAAGCACAGCTCAAAATAAGCAGTCAGTGGCTAGGCTGCCGCTCAGCCACTTCACACAAGGCTAGCTGCTGCCTACCAAAGTGAGCAATGATGTCACAACAAACAACTCCCTAAGTACCTGCTTGGCAAAGTGCTAATACTTTGTCAGCTATCTGGGTAGGACTATGTCAGTTACTTAATAGGTGTTGTGACTCTAGGGAAGTTTAGCGTCAGTCTCAGGATTGGTAGTAAATGTCCAAAGGAGCTGGTTCTACAATTTAATACTGGTATATATGTACTAGAAAGGTGGGTGGTTTTATTTTTTGGGGGTGGAGGTGGTTGGGTGGGTGGAGGTGGTTGGGTGGGTGGAGGTGGGGCTTGTACATCATGGTCACAGTCCATCACTGACAGAAGACAGGGCAGGAACACAAGGCCAGGGCCTGGAGGCAGGAACTGAAGCAGAGGCCTTACAGGAGTGCTGCTCTGGCTTTGTCCTCATGGCTTGCTGGGCCTAATTTCATTTCGTTTTATTCTTTTGTTGTTGTTGTTGTTTTTAAGCTTTCGTTCTTTTTCACTTCATATTGAAAGTAATTATTCTCATTATATTCTGACTATTTTGTCCTCCCAATTCCTCCCAGATCCTCCCTACTTTCCTACCCACCCAAATCCATGCCCTTTCTCTCTCTCCCTCACTATAATAAAAACAAGCACCTAAAAATTAATAGTAATAAAGCAAAATATGATAAAATAAAAAACAAAACAGAATAGGACAAAACAAACAGGAAAAAAAGAGCCAAAGAGAAATCACAAGAAACACATACAGATGCTGACACACACAGAAGGCCCATTAAAAACATACTAGGGAACCATATACACAAAAAATTCTGTAAAATTAAAAAAGAAAAAAAGCCCAAACAAAGCAATGACAAAAGAACATCCAAAAGCAACATTGAATCTGTTTTGTGCTGGCCATCTCCTGCTGGGTACAGGTGCCAGTTAAGTATGGTTTGTTTCCCAGTGAGACTCCCTTGGAGAACTAATTTTTCACCTGCATGCAGTTATTGACTGGAGATAGCTTGAGGGTTAGGGTGGGGACTGGCAAGCTCCTTTTCTCTCAGCACTGAGACCTCATCTGGCTTAGGCGTGTGGAGAGCCTGTGCATGGGCCACAGTCTGAGTTCATGTGTGTACCAGTGCTGTTGTGTCTGGGAGGCCTTCTTTCCTTGCTTTCTGCCAGCCCCACTGGCTTTTAAAAACTTTCTCTCTCCTCTTTCTAGTAGCTCCCTGAGACGTGAGGGAAGGCATCTGATGGAAAACATCCCATTTAAGACTGAGTGAGTGTTCTAAAGTCTCACTAGTAAGTTGTTTGTTTGTTTGTTTTAAACCTGATGTGGGGCTCTGAGTTGGAAGAGTGTTTGCATGAAGTCCCGGATTCTATCTGCAGCACACATAATGCTGAGCTCAGCAGTACTCCAAGGATGGGGGCAAGGGAATCAGGATGACAAGGCAGCTGCTATAAAGCCTGACAGTCGGGGTGCAAACCCCAAAAACAACATGGTGGAGAGAACCAACTCTTAAAGTTTGTCCTCTGACCCCAACATGCCCATTGTGCCAGGAGCACACCCATACTTACACAGACATGTACACATACAAAATGAACAAATTTGTTCTTATTTTGTTTTTCTCAAGACAGGCTTTCTCTGTGAAGCACTGGATATGTCCTTGAACTCAAGAGATCTGACTGACTCTGCCTCTACTGGGACTAAAAGTGTGAGCAACCACCTCCAGCTAAATTTGTATTTTTTAAAAACAAAGTTCAACATCATTCTTAGCTACTCGGGCTGGAGAGATGTATCAGGGGTTAAGAACACTGTCTGCTCTTCCAAAGGACCCGGGGTTCAATTCCCAGCACCCACATGGCAGCTCATTACTGTCTATAATTTCAGAGATCTGACATCTTTACACTAATACACATAAAATAAAACTAAATAAATTGTTATTATTATTATTTTTAAAAAAGAGCCCTTTGTTCTTACAGAGGACCCAGGTTGTTCCCAGAACCCACACAGAGACTCACAACTACCCATAACTCCAATTCCAGGGCACACAGTGCCTTCTTCTGACCTCTTCAAGCATCAGGTAAGAACATGGCGACATACAAACAGACAAAACAACCATACACATTCTTAGCTACTTAGTGAAGTCAGTGGTCATCCTGACAATAAACCTAAATAGGTATTTTAGCAAAATTGACAGTTGGGTCAACACTGTAGTAGGAATTAAGTGAGTCAAATATGCAGCAACCATATTTAAAGAAGTAAGTGAAGCTAGTCAGTCAGGGCTACATAGTGAGACTCTGTCTATAAGATAAAAGAGACAAATGAAATTGATTTTAGCAATTTCCAACTTAGCTCACTTTGCCACTATGTCTGTCTTATCAACATATAATCAGTACTTGGAAACCTACATTGTGTTTTCATCTTAAACCTTGAAAATCCATGGTTTTTTATTTTTCACTTATAGGATACTTACTCTGTTTGAATGAGTCAAATCTCAAGTGCTTTAATTAGGCCACCAGATTCAGAGAGCTGCATCCTGGAAGTCCAGATTCAGGTCCAAAGAAAGCATGTCAGCCCCACAGCACACAGAGAGGGATTAAAGGGTATTGTGGGTAAAAACTATCAGAAGAGAAAGTAAGAAGTAAAGGCAGAAAGCATAAGAAAAGTTCTTATGAAA